TAAAGTGATTAATTTAAAAATTAAAATAAAAGATATTTCTAATCTCAAAAATTAATTTAAGAGTTTACTACGTATGCTAATCTATGAACTGAGTCTAAGAGCAGTATCTCAGCCATCAGATTTAACCTTATCAAATAACCAAATATATTAAACAATTCCGCTTACTGCATGTACCTAACAAGGTTGAAAAAGTACCTTAGTATTCGGAACAATTCACGTTACAAATTCAGTATCATTCCAAAAAGCTGACCCAAATGGGTTTCTTAAAAACTAGAGTTTGGAAAATTTTAGTCTTTAAGCGTGATTCTTTGGCTGCTGTTGACTGCTCAAAAGATATTGTTCTCATTATCCACGCAAGTTCTTATTTCATGGAAGAGTACCTTAGGAGATAAAAGAAGGCCAATAAAGAGAAAAGTAGGAAATTTCATATAGGGAAAAAACTTCGTTTAGCTGCTCATAAACATCAACTATATTAGAGTTATATTGAAAGGAAAAAAAAAGTGCTTTCATTCAATTAGATTTGGAATTCATGCTATCGAATAAACCCTCAATTCTTCATATTTATTGAGATGATATTATGATTTGAAATTTCCATGTTTTATCGCTTATCTTGCCTTAGTTCTTACCTACTTTTTCTTATTTTATAGCATAATTGATAAGATTAAGAGCTTGCATTTGGAATAAAATGGAAACAAACATTTTTGGAGTATTTCTGACTCTTTAAGCTTTATTTTCAACTCTTAGATCTTTAATTTGTAGGACCATGCTACCATCAACATAACCAAACATGATAGTTGGCGTGCTCAACAAAAATTTTAGCATGATCATACCCATATAGACATAGTTTTTGGTCAGGCATCCCACATAAAGTTTGAAATGCACAAATTTTCGACTTGTATTGAACCATCTTTTAAGCCCACTTGTAACTTAAGGAAACACTTTCTTACGCTAAGAAACACTAGACGTGAATTCCATTTTCATCTCTCCCATTCTTCCACTTATCTTCTACCTATATTCTTTGAAGTTCTGGGAGTATCTCACTCTCTCTTGGACATTTTCAAAAATTTTCTTCAGGTGTATGCCATTTGAAAAACATGAAAATTGGGAATTAGCTTTGGAATACACGACCAATATTAATTTTTAATATAATCAGTATAGATGATTGTGCTAAGAATTTATTTAATTTTATGAAAATTGAAATAATTAATAGCAAATGAAGCCTAAGCCCTATATTCAATCATAATCGATTTCTTACTCACTCGAGCCTGCTATTTGTTTTGTATTCATCGCCCTTACCAATTTGTGATTTTCTTTTATTCTTATATCCAAATCTTGCTTTTGTTCTCATTTGAATGCATTGATTTGTAATAAAATATAAGCCAAAAACTTTATTCCATTCTATACCCCGTATTTTAAAAAGAAACAAAAAATTATTAAATAGAGATTTTTAAACACTTCCTCTTCTCTTATTTATATGTTTGAAATGGTGATGTGATTGCAGTGGGAGGCAGGGAGCATCCGATCACATACAAGGTAGTGCGTTAAGGACTCTACTAAAGTAATAAGCACCATAATGTACCCATAATCATTTTCAAAGAGTGATGACGCCACCAAACCCAAAAAATTCAATTATTTAGCATGTGTATTAACTGATAACAATTACTTTAGCTTAATATATAATTTTAATAAATGCAATTTTATTAAATATATTTTAAAAAATTATAACTTATAATAGAATTTTATCTGCTATGAGCTCTTTGCATTGGGATTTCTGATTAATTATTCAGTAGGAAGAACGTTTCATTTGGGTCCATATATTTTAGTTTTTGTTACAATAAAATTGAAATTGACTGAATGCAAATTATTTTCATTAGCTAAAAAGTCCTAATGAAAATAGTTAAGAATGATGGATGGATGAGATCCCTATTCCTAGCTGCTACATATGTACTGATGAAACAGTTGAATATGCTAAGGTTCCCACAATCCCTATATTATGTATAATTAAGAAGAAATGATCGTCATGCTCCAAAAATGTTATCTTTTATCAATAATCAAATGTGATAACTACTAAACCAGAAAATAATATTATAAAATTGTTATCAAGTATTAATTAAATAATAATATACAAATATATTTACACTGTAATTACATTTCAATTAAATTCTATAAAATATGCCCCAATGGAAAAGGCTTTCAATTTTAGCAAAAGAGATGTTTGAACTATTTTATTATATATTAACTATAATTTTATTTATGTTATTCTAATGTTTAATGTTTTAAATTTCCTGTTGTTCAGTCAATTGTGACAATTTAATTAAGAATGAAAAATTATTTGTATTTATAGATATTAGCTTTCTAATATATATTAAAAAACATATAATAAATATTTTATTGAAATATAAAATCAAATATATTGATAACATTAAATATTATTGTGTATATACACATATTAAATAAACCATAAATATAATTCAACTTGAAAAATATTTAAAGCCGAGCATCTATTTTTCCAACGAGTCAAAGACGGGGTTTTCTTTCTATCGTTGTTTACTATATAGCTCTTTCAATCAAATAATTAATTCATCAACGACAAAATAGTTATATATAATAAATTTATATCATATTTTAAAAATACCTACAATAAACAAAACTATAAAAATAATCAACATTTAATAATCTAATTTTTTTTTTTTGTGAAATCAAAGATAAATTATTTTAAGAGTTGATCACTTAATAATATTCTACAAATTTTAATTTTTATTAATTAAATTATTAAATTAATTTTTTATAAAATAATTTTAAAAATATAAAAATTAACGGTGGATTATAAAATTATATAATCAAATAAATTTATTTTAATTTTTAAAATATAAATAAATATATATTTTAAATGTCTAATTCATTTAAGATTTGACATATACGATCAACATAAACATATTATCTTATTTAACGGTTATATTAATGTTTTTTAAAAAATTATTAAATATAATAACTTCTGTCAAATTTTTTCTTAAAGTAATTATATGATAATATTAATATTTTTATAAAAAATAAAAATAAAACACGTCGGACAAAAGTTAATACTAAACTGTACATACTTATAAAACCTTAATATGTGGAATTACCGAAAGTATCGTAACTATTCAAATAAAAATTTAGTTTAATCAAACATTTATTATCTGATTTTTTTTTTTTGTTTATTTCGATTCTAAAGTTTTTTTTAATAATTAAATTTATAACTTTGAATTCTCATTAATATTCATAAACACATGTTAAATCTATGGATGCGTCAAAAAGTAAGACTAATTTTTTTTTTTCGTTACAAATAAATAGTCCACTTTATTAGTGAACGAAATTTAGCTTCTTTTATTTTATTTTCTCTAGTAACAAAGAATGAAATTTAGCACCCTTCGCCAAGTTTAAAATGTGAGATCAAACTCCAATTTTTTTTTTTATTAAAAAAATAAGGAAAATTAATAGAAATGAATAGAGTAAAAGAGATCAAAAAATTATACGTAAAATAAAATATAAAGATTAAAAATGGTAAACACATTCAAATTTCTTTACCAAGTAAAATAAAAAATGCCACATCATAAGCTCCACGCTTGGATTAATAAATGAAAGATATCTTGAATTAAATATTCAATTAATCCAAGTAGAATCAAAATAAATAAAAAATTATTAACTTATTAAAATTGAACATGAACATGATATCATATATTAAAATTTTATATTTAATTTTGTGGTGAAGAAAAAGAAAAAATATAAAATGGGTCTTCGTCGTTGAGCGTACCGGCCATGATCACTGCGGTGTTTTGTTCTTCTCTCTCCATTGGTCAGTGAGATCTGCAGAACTGAACTTGGGGGAGTCAACAGAGGAACAGGGATATCATTGTCATTTCACATACAAGAGAAGGAAAAGCACTTCCACAACGTGAAATATAAAGCCCCTTTCCATGTTGCTTCTCCAACACCGCGTTTTTCACTAACTCAGTTTTCAGTTTGACTCATCGGCCCAATTTTTTTGAAGTGAAGAATAATAACGACAACAACGGAATCCATAAAATGTTTCCCCCAACCAAATCAATAGCCCAGTAAACAAACAAACTTCTATTAACGTAGTACCGTAACACATTAGTTAAAAATTTAATACAAAATTTTAAGTTTATATATTTTTACTTTTTTAACCGATGGTTTAAGAGTACTTGTTAGAATTTTTTAATAAATAATAAATTATGTTATTAAGTAGTACTATTTCAAGGATAAAAATTATATTTTAATAATTCAAAATGTTTTTAATTTTCTAATTTTCATACCAACTAAATGAAATTATATACATTTACTTTTCATTTTATGTTTTTTACACCGTTGATCATTTTAAATATGCTGTTGGTATTACTTTTTTATTCATTATTAAAATCTATTATTAAAGAAGGCTTGATAAAAACATAATATTTAAAATATTCAATTTTTTTTTAATTTTTATACTTTAATGAATACTTTGAGAATACTGGACAATATTGTAAAAAGTTAAGACTATCAAAGACAAATTTAAAGGAACAAATGTGGGTTCTTATTCTTTTCTTCATGTTTTTTAAATTTTATTTATTTTATATTTTCAATATTTTTTGAATAATTAATTTTGAGGATGAAATTATATCTTATATTTTTTTACATACGATTTCATCATTTTATTTATATTTATCGATTTAAAACGTAAAATTTACACAACAAATGAATTTTTTATTTAATAATATTAATATTTTATTACTATCACTATCAATATATAAGAGCTTATATTTTTATTAAAAATTCATGTATATAATTTTCTTATTGTATAATTTTTAACAAACGCAGTAAAGAACTGTTTTAAATAAAAAATTATGCAGAAAATGAGACAAGTCAACTGTAAATACGTAATTAGTGAAAAGAAAGAGAAAATATGTGGACGGTGTCACGATGGAGTGAGATTCATGTTTGCCAAATTGCCACCTTTATTTAATCATTTTATTTTTGGTCTCTTCTCTGTATAAAAAGAAATCCGATCCAGCTAATGCCATTTCAACCGACACGCCTCTGCCATAGCCATCTCCACACTCATCTCTTTTCATTCTTGTGAATTTGCAAATACAACAAAATCATTGTTCTAAACACACATATTTTTATACATAGAGAGAGAGAGGAGTTAATTTCCAAAAAGAAACTCATAGAAGGTGAAGATTGAGAACAAGTGATGGCGCTTACAAAACCAATTATGGGTTGTTCTTCATTGGTAGAGAGGTCCTTGTTTGTTCCTTCTTCCCCTCCATCGCTTACACGCCATGCTTTTCAACTCAAACAAACACGGTTCTCTGTTCCTTTTGAGAACACAAGAGTGGGGAGGTTGAGAAGGCCTTCGAAGTTTCCTGTGGCAGCTATAAGTGAAGATTTGATGAAGGGTTCTTCTTCTTCTTCTTCTTCTTCTTCATCATCATCTTCTTCTTCAGTGTCTGTAGAGAAACCGGTGAAATTCAAGGTTAGAGCTGTGATCACAGTAAGGAACAAGATCAAGGAGGATTTGAAAGAGACCATTGTGAAGCATATTGATGCTTTAACTGACAGGATTGGAAGGAATGTTGTGCTTGAACTTGTTAGCACCGAGATTGATCCAAGTAAGATTTTATGGGTGTGTTCCCAAATCATCATTTCAAGCCACCCTTTACTTTTTCTCTTAATGGGTGTGCTATAAATTTTGGCAATTTCTTAAAAAAAGTAACTTTTTCCCTCACCTTCTAAAAAAGGTTCATTTTATCTTCTGTATATTATAAGATCACTTCAATAACTCTTATTCTCTTTTCCAAATAAATAAATAAATTTATTGTCTAATTTTTATATTTTAACTGGAATGAATTTAAAATTACTTGTTGATCGATGAGTATAACTTAACTGATTTTTTCAAAAATTTATAGAAACCAAAGCTGCAAAGAAGAGTAATGAAGCAGTGCTGAAGGATTGGTCAAAGAAGTCCAATGTTAAAGCAGAGAGAGTTAATTACACAGCTGAATTCATAGTTGATTCCAACTTTGGAGAGCCAGGAGCTATTACTGTGACAAACAAACATCAGAAAGAGTTCTTCTTGGAAAGTATAACCATTGAAGGATTTGCCAGTGGACCAGTTCATTTCCCCTGCAACTCATGGGTACAAGCCAGAAAAGATCATCCTGGAAAGAGGATATTCTTTTCTAACAAGGTAATCTTCACAACTAAACCTTTAATTTAGTCTTCAAAATTATGTAAGTCAAGTATTTCAAATTTTTTTTTTTTGTTCGTATTTGATTATTCAAAAGCAAATTATTTTTTTCTATTAGTTTTGTGAAAAAAAAAGAAAGTTCATTTATTACAAATCTTGAAAGTTCATTTAATAATTTTTTTATTAAAAATCACGGGTAAGATGAATTGATTTCAATAAAAATTTCCTTGCCTTGATTACAGTCCTTGTCATGATTTATTTTATGACATATGCTGACCAGTATGCCATGACCCCCTAGCTTATTTACCTGTCTTAATAACAGGCCCCGGAAAAAAAAAAAAAAAAAAAAAAAAACACAACCAGGGTGCAGCCAATAAGGCAACAATATTTTTGTTGTTTTATTATTTATTCTCGAGCTTGGGAAATAAAGTCAAAGCAGCTTTAATTTTTCTTTTGAAGAATCTTGAAAAGGCCAACAAAATCGAAATTTCATTTTACCTTAAAATAAAAAAGAAAGTTCATTTATTATTTCAATGCCAATTAGTGCGTGATATTAAATTTTCCTCAATAAACAACAAAAGCTGCTCCATTAACATCAAAGTGGGAAAACCATCGAGTCATGCCAGGGTTTGGCCCAAGCACCTTTGAATTGACCCATCAATAACTATGCCGCCAACTGAATACACCCACTTAGTATGACTTTTATGATAGTATTATCTTTATGATTTTTTAATATATTTTTTCCTAATAATTTACAGGAAAGAAATTAATATATAAAACTTTTATTAACATTATGGAATTTAATATTAAATAATGTGATATTTTGTAAATTATAATACAAACTTATTACACTAAAGTTCTTATTATACTGTACTGTTATTATTTTTAACAAATTTGCTATAACAATATGATATTTCACACAAAATAAAATTTTAAAATTTGTTTATTTGTTGTGTAATTTATTGGAACAGCCATGTTTACCGGGCGATACACCTGCTGGGCTTAGATTATTGAGGGAGAAAGAGCTGAGAAATCTCAGAGGTGATGGCAAAGGAGTTAGAAATTTATCTGATAGAATATACGACTATGACATATACAACGATTTGGGAAATCCAGATAAAGGAGTTGAACTTGCTAGACCAAATCTTGGGGGATCAGAAATGTATCCATACCCAAGACGGTGTCGTACTGGCCGTGAACCATCCGACACAGGTAATGAATAAAGAAAGGCAAAAAGGTTTTAATTTTAATACTACCAAAGTTTGGACTTTGTTCTAAAATAAGTTATTATCCTTAGAATTATACTATTTATACACTTTAGTTTTGTGTACAAATTATTATTATTATTTTTTTGCATGTGGTCATGCATAATTAGAAAATTAATAAAGGGGTTTATTAATTTGGGTGAAAATTGAACTAAATGTTTAATTGGGTGGTGCAGATATGTACGCAGAGAGTCGTGTGGAGAAGCCACAGCCTATGTATGTGCCTAGAGATGAACGTTTTGAGGAGTCTAAGCAGAACACATTCTCTGTGAAGAGGCTCAAAGCAGTGTTGCATAACTTGATTCCTGGCCTTAAGGCCAGCCTTTCTGCTAACAATCAAGATTTCAATGAATTCTCAGATGTTGATGGCCTTTATAGTGAAGGACTCCTCATAAAATTGGGGTTGCAAGATGAAGTTTTGAAGAAAATTCCATTTGTCAGCAAGATTCAAGAATCCAGCCAGGGTCTTCTTAAGTATGACACACCTAAGATTATTTCCAGTGAGTATATTTTTGCTATTTAATTTCAATTTATTGTCTTTTTCTTTTTATTAAAAATTTGGTTACAAAGTTTGAGTATACTATATACTTTTTTGTTGAGTAAATCTTTTTTATTATTCTCTTTCTAGGAAGATTCCCGAGTTTTAGATTTTAAATTTAAAATACTTTAAAGTATTTGGCATGTCTATTTTAACTTTTACCTATACGGGAAATGTGTCTGAAACTGATGTTAATTAGCAAGTGGACCACAAGAACATGCCGTTTAGCCTTTAATGTTTGTCAGTTCAAAGCCAGATCGGATGTTCATATTAATTTTATATGTGCTCTAACTTGTTATTATATGAAATAAACTATACCCAAATTGTTAATTAATTAAAATGCTTCACATGTGGGTATAGTATTGTATAATTGTTATTATGTTAAGATCAACTTGATATCTTTATATATTATTAAACTAACGATTTCACATGTGCAACAGAGGACAAATTTGCCTGGCTGCGAGATGACGAATTTGCCCGCCAAGCAATAGCAGGAGTTAATCCTGTTAATATTGAAAGCCTTAAAGTTTTCCCACCTGTAAGCCAGCTAGACCCTGAAATTTATGGTCCACAAGAGTCTGCTCTTAAGGAAGAACACATTTTGAGTCAACTCAATGGCATGACTGTTCAACAGGTACATCAAAGCTTTTCATAAATTTAATTACCTTTTGTTCATTTAATACTCTACCCACTTGTATTAAACTCATTTATTTTTTTAATTGTGCAGGCAATCGAGGAAAATAAGCTTTTTATCATAGATTATCATGATATCTACCTTCCTTTCCTTGAAGGGATCAATGCTCTTGATGGTAGAAAATCGTATGCTACACGTACCATCTTTTTCTTGACACCCCTTGGTACTCTCAAGCCTGTGGCCATAGAACTTAGCCTGCCTCCTGCTGGTCCTTGTTCGCGATTGAAACGCGTGGTTACACCTCCAATTGATGCAACTACTAATTGGGTATGGCAACTTGCCAAGGCCCATGTTTGCTCCAATGATGCTGGGGTGCACCAACTTGTTAACCATTGGTAAGCCTAGACCACAATCTTCATTTAATATATAAGTTTAGAATTTTTGTTTAGCTAGTGAACTAACAAATTTTTCATCTTTGCTTAATTGTATAAAGGTTACGCACACATGCTTGCGTGGAACCATTTATATTGGCGGCTCATAGGCAATTGAGTGCTATGCATCCAATTTTCAAGTTATTGGACCCACACATGAGGTACACTTTGGAGATCAATGCCTTAGCTCGCCAAAGCTTGATCCATGCTGATGGAATCATTGAAAGTTGTTTCACTCCTGGTCGCTATGCCATGGAGCTTAGTTCTGCTGCTTACAAAAATTTTTGGCGCTTTGACATGGATAGCCTCCCTGCAGATCTCATCCGCAGGTAATTAAATTTCTTAGATTCTTTGTGACTATTACCAACTTGACTTTTAAAAGAAAGAGACCTGAATTATTAAATATCTTAGATTCTTAGTAACTTTTACCAATTTGGCCTTTACTGAAAAGAGTGCCAACTTTTTTTCTTTACGTGTTATTGATGTTTGCTTTCTTTTGTGTATGCAATTTTCAAACAAATCTAACAAAGATTTTCTCTTTGGACATTGTAGGGGAATGGCAGTACCTGACCCAACACAGCCACATGGTCTAAAGCTAGTATTGGAAGATTACCCTTATGCAGCTGATGGGATACTAATTTGGTCTGCAATAGAAGATTGGGTTCGCACCTATGTGAACCATTACTATCCACATTCAAGCCTTATATGCAATGACAAAGAGCTACAATCTTGGTACTCTGAGTCAATCAATGTGGGTCATGCTGATCTTAGGCATGAAAGTTGGTGGCCCACGTTGAGCAATAGTGAAGATCTTGTCTCCATCCTTTCCATAATAATTTGGAATGCATCTGCACAACATGCTGCTCTTAATTTTGGGCAGTATCCTTATGGTGGCTACGTGCCAAATCGTCCACCGTTGATGCGAAGATTAATACCCGAAGAGAGTGATCCAGAGTATGCAAGTTTCCTTGCTGACCCACAAAAGTATTTTCTTAATGCATTACCTAGCTTGTTGCAAGCTACAAAATTTATGGCTGTGGTTGACACACTCTCCACTCACTCACCTGATGAGGAGTACTTGGGAGAGAGGCAACAACCTTCCATTTGGTCTGGTGATGCTGAGATCATTGAGGCATTCTATGATTTCTCTGCAAAGATTAGGCAGATAGAGAAGGTGATTGATAGCAGGAACCTTGATAGGACTCTAAGGAACCGTTGTGGTGCTGGTGTGTTGCCTTATGAGTTACTTGCTCCTAGCTCTGAACCTGGTGTTACTTGCAGAGGAGTACCCAATAGTGTGTCCACATAAATATCCCAAACTAATAAATAAGGGCGTCACATCTCACATTTTGATAAGCATTAATATGTGATTGCCTTAATAGTTACTACTGTGGACAGTGACTTAGTGGATAATCATTTTGTACTTAGATTTGATAAGATTTAGTATATATATTGGTAACCTAAGGCTGTATAGACTATATCAAAGTGAGTTCGGTGTGATGGAGGTGGTGTGAATGTTTATATCATTATTATTATTATCACATTGACTTATTTTCAGTTGCACTATTATGTTGTTTTTTATTGCAAATATTGCGGGTTTTATTAAGTTTTTCAATTAGAGAAAATCATCCTAAGCAAGGCATTCAGCGATGGATTTTACTAAATTGTATAATTTTATAGTATCACAATTTTTTTTAAACTTGGATTCCGATTGCCTCAAATTAGATATAGCTAAGAGCATATTTACGTTAAAATAGTAAATACAATTAGTGCAGCATGGGAATCAACATTGATCTTGTCGAGAAATCCAACTTGCTTTAGTCGAGCTAAATATTAATGATACTGTTACTGTAAGCTTACTGTGAAGCTTCTTCAAAGGGACGAATGTACCTGGTTTATGTCTCTTCTATTTTTAGAAAAATCATGCCATATAAAGACACAAATAATTGGCATGCATCTGTCAACAAAAATAGTAATGATACTCTCGCATTTACGTCTCCTCAAACTTTCAGAAAACCCATTGAGCTTCACTCTAATTTTCCATTTAATTAATTTTGTGCCCGTATCTCACAAAGTATGCTAAATTATCAATTTCTCTCAACAAAAATATATTTATTAGAAATTAAAATAACCAGTGTTTGCCCATGAAGAAAACGAATCGGTGCATGTAATAAAGGTGATAGTTTGCATGAAATTAAAATAGTAATCGGTGCATGAAATTAAAAATATATTTGGATGATAGTTTGCACCACCTAAACTTTAATGTGGAGAATGAAAATTGAGTTTCACCCACAAAGAACTCGCTGAGCAAAACTATGCATGGTTGAGTTTTTGAGCTTTGTTTAAACATGATTTTATAATCTTAGTATGAGTAGAAGCGATAAAACGTTATTTTTCCATTGAGACAAACCGTAGTTTGCAACTTGTAATCCATATACACCCATAATTTGCTGAACTAACATGATCAGACCAAAACAGAGAAATAAACTGTAATCTTATCCAACCATAAATAAAATGAAAAAAAGTTAACAAACTAGTAATAGATTTTATTGAGGAAAAAAATATTTATCACACTTTTTTAACTTCAACGTAATAATGGTGTTTTGTTAGTAATAAATATACTACTTTTAGACGTTTAAATTTAGTTCTAAGGATGAAATTAACAAAACTAAAAAAAATTATAAGATCTTGAAGCTTGGGCTTTAAAAAATGTTAAGGAAGGGGGACCGAGCCCGTCTTGTTATGGGGTTAATTAAGATCTCAAGAAACATCATCCAATAACAAAAGATCGAGTGACGAGGGTGGATGCGATTCGAAGGATTTTAGGTTCAATCTCTTACAGTCATGTCAACGAGTAATTCTTAGGAGATAACTTCCTACCTTAGGCATGCAAGTCAATAGGTGTAAATTTGTGTAAACCATGTCCAAAAAAATTGAACATCTCTGTTGATTCAATCTTAAGCATGTCAAAGGTTGATTTACATGCTAGGAAATTGCCACCCAAGAATTTCTAATTCTGTATGCCCTTAAATGCAACGGAATCTGACATCTTTGGAAAACAACAAAACTTCTGAATTGTTCAGTATAACCACAGGACAAGTTCTACTAGATCAAAGCCAAATACTTCATTGTCAGCTTTAAATCATCCTACCTAAAGCAACTGAGCTATGTATATATAATAATGGGCTTACGTGTGCAATACTGAAAATCTAGGCAAAAAGATACCCCTAACCAAATTTAGAAATGAAGGGTTTAACAACAATAAGCTGTCAGCATCTATTTAGTGATTCGAAGTTCAAACTTAGAGTGGTATTAAGAAAAGTTTCCATTTTTGTGATAGGATAAATGTTCCCAGTGCTAGGCGCTTTAAATTGTAACTGGGGCAAAAAGTACACGAACATGGAATGAAAAGAAACAAATCTTGGGACGAATATGACAGGACGAGGGAAGTTTTGTTTTGCGGTATTTTGTAGTTAGATTTCCTCAATTCAAAATCATAAACCTCATTTATAGGAATTGTCACTTGATATTGCAAGTTGCAAATATTTATGAATATTTTTGCAAAATCCTTTAGCATTCCAGATACAGTGAAGTTGTATGCATAGCTCATATTCATCCTTCCTTGATTCAATACGGGGCATTCATGTACGTAGTCTTCCACTTTATGAACCAGTCTTTTATGTTTGACTCTCATCATTTATGTAAGGTTGTGTTATAGAAACGGGCCACTTAGAGGAAAAAGGATTAGAGTGAAAGCTACTTTAAGTCCCTTCATTATTTTGTACATGGTAGACCATGGAATTCTGACAAATCACGTTGTGTGTATGGACGTTATAATTTACAAAAAATAAAAAATTTAGCATGTGTCATGGAGTAAATGATTGGGACCATGTGATCTCAGACCATTCAAATTTTTTTCTTGCTTAAACCTTAACAACTTCACTTCAAGTTTAAAAAAGAAGTGAACACCCATAATTAATATAACTTTTACTCTAACAACATGCACAAAATTAGACCCACTTCTTTTAATTGGCAACTTCATTTAATGACAAGCATCAGCACTGAATATATCAACAAAAACAAGTGAGAAATGGCATGACATTTACTACAAAAACAGACCATGCAGTCAATTTTTCAAGCATTGACAATCACGAGAAATCAACTCTCGCGAAACTACAAGGAACTCAGCTAGAAAAACAGTGTGGTAAATATCAGCAACAACCCTTTCCAAATGATACTGAACATTAAACTACCACAAAAACAAACATGACATGGATGTAAGTCAAGTTCAACTGATCTAAATCAAATTGCATAGATTATGGCTCAAGAAAACCAAAAATAAAGTGCATTTCACAGTACCCACTACAATACCAGAGGAAAGAGATTTCACATGCATGAGTTCAGAATGTGACAGGCCAAAACTCAAATGAATCAGCAAAATAATGATGCAGTTCAACACGTTAGAAAAATATATACCATAGTACATACTATGTTTGTGGGGGTAACAAAAGGCTTTATAAGCCCAACAACTATCTCGGTTTCTGTTAAATCATAGATCCAAAGGCCGAAAGATCCAAATAACCACCAAAACCAATAGTCACACGCACTGTTATTTGTGGGATGGACTATTAAAATATAACCAAATGTTAGGAGGAAACTTAGGTAGCAGAAATTACACTCTCCTGGGCAATCAAGTACAAGTAAAGAGTAAAAAAAAACACTCTTATTTAACATCCCAAATAACTAATACCAATAGGATACGTGGATCTTTAAAAAAAAGAACAAATTCTGCATTATACAAATGAAATGGAAACTAGATTACCAAATGGAAGTTCTTGAGTATAGTAGTTAGTCAATCTCAGTGTACCAATATAGCAGCCCAAATCCTCTCAGACAAGGACATACATAAGGGCAGAAAAGATGGGCCTCGTACTGCTTTCCCAATAATTTTTCAAAAAACTATATAATATATATATATATATATATATATATATATATATATATATATGAAGCTTGTTATTATGTTAAATTTTAAGTTTAATTACACTTTTCATCCATTTAATTTAAATTATATATGATATTAATCAATTAAGTTCCTCTATTTGTTAAAATTAAGCAAATTTTGTCTCCTTATCAATTTTCTTGTACATAAATTTTTTAAGTTCTCAGTTTCTACTTAAAGTCTTTATAAATTGAATAAACTAAATTGCTTCTTTTTGTTTAACGAAGTTAAACAAACTACTAAATTTCACTCCAAATAAAAAATGTTATTTTTTCTCTTTCCAAACTCCAATATCACATATTTTAACATTCTTTTAATTTTATCAAGTTTCAACTAAATAAATAATTTTTAGACTTTTTATAATTTTTTTATGTCCCAATTCCATCATAATCTCTCAGATATTCTTATAAAAAAATACAATTTAAGGATTTTAAATTTAAAAAATTAGGAAAACCAAATTTATCAATCTTTATATAAATTTTGTAAATATGATTTCTTAAACGAGAACGTTTTTTATTTTAAAACTTTCTCAAACAAAAGTACTTGTAAGAGTTAGTTCTCTTTTTCATTATATGTTTCTTTACAATAAATATTTTTAATTAAATATTTATGTATATTTTTTTTATATATTTGAAATTATTTTTTGTTTAATATAATATAATATATATTATCAATAATACAATATTTACTCTTTTTTAAATTATTAAAATTTAAAATACTCGTATAATATATTTTTAATTAATTATTTTTAAAAAATATGTATATTTAATGATGCCTATACAATGCAAAGGAGAATTACCAGTTTAATTTTAAATATAGAGAACCATTATTAGCTCAGGAAAAAAGTTGAACGGACTAAAATTACAAATAATCCAAACAGAAAATTAGAAGGATAATAAAGTATAAAATTTATAACTTTTTTAAAAGTTTTTCTATATTTACTTTATAGACCATTGAACTTTGGAAAACACTCTTTGTCTACCCCTTCCTTCATTGTTTTCAACTTTTTATAAGTTGATATCAACATGCCCTTAAAATTAATTTTAAGTAATTAAAAGATAATAAAAATTTATTAAAGAGAAATTAAAAATTAGTGGAAAACTGAAAATTTAGGTAAATTAACTTTTCATACAACAGTTGTAGGTGCAAAGTAAGCTCAATAAATACATTTTATTTACTGTTTATTACTAATTTTTCATAAAAAAATAATATTAAAATAAAATGCGTATTTATCTGTTTTAACTTAAAACTAAAAAAGGGGAAACTTTGCACGAAAGACGACGGAACGGGGTTGGAGCAGCAGGAGACCTTGACCTTGTTAGGAGTCCTTTCAAGTCAATTTACTATGAAATTTCACAGAAACTGTGATCGTCAATTCGTTTGATGTAAGAGAAATAGAAAAAAGTTAACTTGGCAACATTTCTTCCATTAAGAACAAAGTTAGCAAGTACTCGCTCATTAATTAAGGCTACTAATCTTTCTAGTCAATTATGTCCAATTCTTACTTCTTTTAAAAGCCCAATCATTCAATGCCCGTCCTTTGTTTAACAACCATGCCTTTATCGCTTTCCTAAGAACCAACCAGCTTCTAAAACGACAAAACCATTCTACTTTCAGAGCAATAAATTTACCATCTAATAAAATAAAATAAAGATTTTATTGATCAGCATTTCAAAGTGATATTTATCAAACAATATATTATTCATAAATGACATCGTTGCCAAATGTTGACTCCCCAGCAGTCAAACTCCCATGTTGCACCTTCTGCAGACTCATTAAGAAACTGGAGGAGACACAATCGACTTATTAAGTATACCAATAAATTATAATTTAACGAAAAATCAATAATCATTAACAAGTAGAGGTTTATTTAAAAGATTTAAAAATAAGAATTCGTCAATTTTTAAAAAAAGTAAAATCTCATTTAGTTAACATTTAAAATAAATTATAAAAGCTAACCAAATAATTTCATCTATATTAAATCTCATTCAAAGTTGTACTATTTGTGAGCATCCCCTTCGTCCTTAATAATTGGCGATCAAATATTATTATATTTCACTCTTAAATTTAAAATGAAAATGTTGATTCACGCCATTTTTTAATACTGGGTCAGATATTGCGAGCACATGTTTCTCACGAGGTGGGAGAGTTCGAGACCATAAAATATGTAACCAGAATATTTGTTGAAATACTTTAAAATCTTTGTATTTAATATATATATATATATAATTGAAAGAGATTATTTAGTCATCTTAAATAGATTTTAATTCACGATAAATAAAAAAACATTTAAAAGCATATAATAAACATGTCTTGCTAATATTCCTATTTTATCATACAAGGACAGCGGTGCCGAGATAATTGCATAGTTTATAAGTTGTTGATTAATTAATTAATTTGATACAACTAAACAAATCAATTAACATTAAAAGGCATATAATAAACATCCTGTGAGTATACTTCAATAAAAGACTGCTGGCTTGTGAATTTCATGTCATGCTGTGAGTATACTTCAATAATTTATATATGAAAGCAGCACAGCAGAGATTGTTTGTACCTGAAAATGTTATCTGTTGTCTTTTCATTGTATTAATCCTCACTGTTCTCTCTCCTCATCAGAAATAATTTATGGTGATGAATGTGCATAATGGCCCGTTTGTCCACGTTGTTTTGGAATTTATTGAAGAAAAAGGGATTACCATAGTGATTAATTTTAATTTTAATTAATAGAAATAAGTTTAAAATGTAAAATAAGTCGGTGAACCGCAAACCCCTATAAGAAAAAACAAAAGGAATGGCAAATAAAAGATAATTAGTTATAATTAAAATGATAAATAGTGTGATTAAAAAAAGCAGAGTGAGTTTTCACGTGTGAGTACAAAAATTAAGGTTAGGCAGTGGCTTTACACCTAAAATCATCGCCTTGAAGCTGATAATAATCGTTTGGAGAATATTTGAATCTACCCCCTTGACTTGATAGTCAGTTGCCCAATCATTGCTGATAATCAAATCGAAATAAAGTTTTGAAGCTATTCCTTGTGATTTGCATCACCAACAACCGGGTTCATGTAGATTAAAAATAGGGATCAAAATTAAAAAGAAGAAGAAGAAGAAGAAGAAAATTAATGGAGACAGGGAACATGAAAAGGTACGAAAGAGAAAATAATCATGTCAAGTTTAAATAAACGTTTCTTTACATGGAATTAAAAAGCAAGAAACTTAATAAAATGATTAATTTATTTAGTTAACTATCATTATAATAAATTTTTAACATATTTTCAAAGATACATAATAAAAATGTAAATACAATATTTTTTTATTAAAAAAATGAAATTTATTTATTAATTTTTATTTTATATTTTTAAATACACATAAAAAATGGTTGTGTAAAAATATCAATTTTATTATCAAATAAATGGAAGTATTTTGTTTCCTTTTTATTTATCAAAATAATGAAAAAATGTAACATTTTTTTTTATCTTCATTCCAACTTTTTTTTATTTACCTTTCCACGTGAAAAAGTATAAGTAAAAAGAAAAAAAGAAAAAAGAGCCACATGCATGCTTGAGAAATAGTTATATATTTAAAAACCAGGGTTCACGGAAAGTTAGTAGAACCGAGGTAGGGCCTCAACTTTTGCTTTGTCTGCCATTGTAATGCGTGTTGCTTGCTCCGTATGTATATATATATCCCTTAAACCCTCACACACTTCCCTCACAAACAAACATATCCCCTTCAACTCTTTAACTGAAGAAAACTCAAACCCAAAACCCACTATGGCGATAGAGTTGGAAGGTTGGGTTTCAACCGCAGCCGCATGGTTTGCAACCTTCGCCGTGCTCCTCCTCCTCAGCCGCCGCGTCATCCGCCGCCGATACAAACTCCCACCTGGCCCAAAACCATGGCCCATCATAGGAAACCTCAACCTCATTGGATCCCTCCCACACCGGTCCATCCATTCTCTCTGCCAAAAATACGGGCCTATCATGCATGTCTGGTTCGGGTCCCACCCCGTTGTTGTGGGCTCCTCCGTGGAAATGGCCAGAGCCTTTCTCAAAACCCACGACGCCGTCCTCGCCGGCAGGCCCAAATTCTCGGCGGGTAAATACACAACCTACAACTATTCAGACATAACTTGGTCCCAGTACGGGCCATACTGGCGCCAGGCTCGTAGAATGTGCCTAATGGAATTGTTCAGTGCGAAGAGGCTCGAAGAATATGAGTACATTAGAAAGCAAGAGCTACGTGCTCTTCTCAACGAACTCTTCCATTCAACAAACAAAACCATTTTGTTGAAAGACCATCTTTCAACACTAAGTCTCAACGTTATAAGCCGCATGGTGTTGGGGAAAAAGTATTTAGAAGAAACTGAAAACGCGTTTATTTCCCCCGACGAGTTCAAGAAAATGCTTGATGAGTTGTTTTTGCTTAATGGGGTCCTCAACATTGGGGACTTCATTCCTTGGATTCACTTCTTGGACTTGCAAGGTTACGTGAAAAGAATGAAGGCTCTGAGCAAAAAATTTGATAGGTTTATGGAACACGTGTTGGATGAACACATTGAGAGAAAAGAAAGGGTGAAAGATTATGTGGCTAAGGATATGGTTGATGTGCTCTTGCAGCTTGCCGAGGATCCTTCTCTTGAGGTCAAGCTTGAGAGGCATGGAGTCAAAGCGTTCACTCAGGTACGTGTCTAATCATTAATCACTCTATTTTTTAGAAAAATTTTAATCACTGGCTGAGTATTTTTAAGATTTTAACCACCTAATATATACTCTTGGGTATAGTATTTAATTTTAAAGATGAATGATGTGAAATGGTGGAGTATAATAGTAACTTTGACAGTATTAGTTTAAATTATCTTCTTAGCAGATGGTCCAATCGAACAACCATGACATAACGTGCTCGCAATTTCGCGGAAATGGTCTTGTATTGTTTATCCTTTCATAATGAGAATTTAACGTGCATATGTATTTTCGTGGAAATGGTCATAAGAATAAATTTGTAAAATATTTTAAAGAACATAAGCAACGTGTAAGAATTTCGAAATCGTTAATAATTTAAGAATATTAGAAAAAGTAAAAATACAAACATTAATTTTAATTAAAAAAATATAAATAATTTTTGTTAAGTTTTGTATTAAATTAAAATCAACCTCTTTTAGTATTATTGGTTATTTTGCAAATCGTATTGTGGATTTTAATGTTGGTACTTCTTGACTATTACGAACTAACGACTTAGAGATGTGAATTTGGAAGTCTATACAGCGACCTTTTTCTTTTTTTATTTTGAAGTAAGGGAAATTGATTACTCGTCAATGTCAAGAGACAATAGACTATGTAAACAGAGTGGCGGTAGGCCCGGGTGGTATATAATAATAATTTATATTTTATTTTAATAATTTAAATAATAAAATTATTGAAAGAAAAAGCCAGTCTTGCTTGCTAAATCGAAACATGAATTATGATATAAATATCTCCTCTTTTGTGGGGCCAGGCCAACTCTTCTCGGTCTGATTTGTCAGTTTCTTAATTTTTTTGCTAATTAATTTTATCAGTTGGGCCAAATTTTACACAACAACAATAATATTTATATTCTAAATAGCTATAAACTAATAATATTGTCCAATTCCCTTATTACATATTCTAAATAGCTATAAACTATATGGTTTATTTAGAGTTATTTGACCTTTGCAAAATTATTTTCAAATTTCAAACATAAATGTTTGGCTCACATTTTGATCTCTTGTGGCATCTTTCATTATTCATTGGTCAGAAATATTTATATTATTATCCTAGTTTACATTAGTTGATTTTCTAAAGATTATAGCAGATTATGAAAATCTCGGAGATTGATTATGATCCTTATTAATTATTATTAATTTTCTTTTCCACTTGGGTGTTCCTCAGGACCTAATAGCAGGTGGGACAGAGAGCTCAGCTGTAACTGTAGAATGGACAATCACTGAGCTATTGAGAAGGCCAGAGTTATTCAAGAAGGCAACAGAGGAGTTAGACAGGGTAATAGGGAGAGAAAGATGGGTTGAAGAGAAGGACATTGTGAACTTACCTTATATTAATGCAATTGCTAAGGAAGCAATGAGGCTACACCCTGTCGCACCATTGTTAGTGCCAAGGTTGGCTCGTGAGGATTGCCATATTGATGGCTATGATATCCCAAAAGGGACTCAAGTGCTTGTCAATATTTGGACTATTGGTAGAGATCCTTCAATTTGGGACGAACCAAATGAATTTCGACCAGAGAGGTTTATAGGTAAGGAGATAGATGTTAAAGGGCATGACTATGAGCTATTGCCATTTGGTGCTGGTAGAAGGATGTGTCCTGGGTACCCTCTTGGTCTTAAGGTCATTCAGGCAAGTTTGGCTAACCTATTGCATGGCTTTAATTGGAGACTCCCCAATGGCATAAAGAATAAGGACATAAATATGGATGAGATCTTTGGGTTGTCTACACCTAAGAAAATACCTCTAGAAGCAGTTGTTGAGCCTAGACTTCCACACCATCTTTATTCCCTTTGAACAGTGCCTCTATCCAAAGGGTTTCTCTCTCTCAAGTTATGGGAATGGCTTAATTTTAAGCCTAAGAAATAAGAAAGTTTCCTTTTTCTTTTGTAACAATAATGAAAAGAGTTATGAAGTTGGAGTCATGTAATAAATGGTAGCATATCATTTGTGAAGCGTAAGCGTTTGCCAAATTGGACTGTGTACTTCTTTAGATGTTTTTCTTTCTCTATATATGGATGCAATAAAATTCTCAACTTGAATGTGAATTGAAGAAAGTTAAATTATAACAAATTGGACTAAAATACATTTACGATTATTGATATAAAGCAAAAAGTAATAAAGTAGAAATGCCCCGTACTTGAGACAAAACAAAAGAAAGAAACTATTTCAAGAAGACAGGCGTTTGGTCTTATCCTATCAGACAAAAAGAGGTTTGGTAAACATGTCTTCTATGCCCCATGAGACTGGTGGGATGGGTGTCACAGGCCTAGCTTTTCAGACAGAGCACTCATTAGGAAATACGAAAATTTTCAATACTCAGATTCGAACCTAGTCTCATGATGTTCTTATCACTATAGCCCATATTTATTCCCCACCAGGCCCAAAATTATGGCCCATCATTGGATCCAAATTCAATGAAATTTTTATATTGGTTGAAATATATTTATATATATAATTTTTTTTAATGAGGTGTAAAGAGCTAAAAAAGGGTGCAAAAGTAAAACCCCAAAACCAATGATGGTATTACATCGTCCTCTTATGGCCCACACTGGCTACAGGGCCGTAGAATGTGCAAAGTGAAACTCTTGTTCACTTTTTTTTTTTTTTTCCCAGTGCTAAACGCTTTGAATAATTATGTTATGTTGCCAAAGATGTACGTGATCCTACCAATATGTTGCATGCCTTTAATTGGAGACTACCTGATAACATCAAGAATGAGGACTTGAATGTGGATGAAATTTGGGGCCTATATACACCTAAGAAAATACCTCTGCAAGCAATTGCTATGATGATTATTTAAAGAATTCTCAATGATGCATTATTTTTCATAATAGCATTCTAGAAATATGCACCTATCTACAGCTCTGGTCCGTTTTCTTCTGGATCGTTGTGTGGTTTTACTTTCGTACAGATAGGCCCATCTAGAGCCTGGCCCGCTCTAGACTTTTATAATGGGCTTAGCGGCCTCAATGAAATCCTATAGACTTTGTATATCAGATTCATAATAGCAATCAGACAAAGAAAAAACATTCATAATAGCAGAGAAGTAGTAAATTTTAAAGATTATAAAATACAATACGATTATAATATAAAACCTAAAATTCATATTAAATTTGGGATGTAGCTCCTCCATTGGACCAAAAGAAAAAACTTTTGAATATATATATATATATATATACATATATATACACAACAGATTTTATGTTTTAAAAGGTAATGAGACCTTGTTATGGACGTAATAAAACAATATCATTTATTTATCATAGTTTTCTTGTCAATATTAATATAAAAGTTTAAAAATAAAATAAATAAATTGTGAAATACAATTAGATAGATATAATAAAGAATTTGTGAAGTGACTGTTACAAAATAAAGTTGCACATCAGTGACATAGTAAAACATTAAAATTTCTATAAGCAGGAAATCTACGAGCTTAAATTGCCAAAATTTTTTAGATAAGCAATTTATGTATTCAACCTCATTACCTCAAGCCCACTCTCCTGTGCTTTTAGATCAAGTTTGTACTCAAATTTTAATATGTCCAACAAAAATATGTATAATGAATAATTTTATTATTTGAATAACTAAAAGATAATATATATATATATATACACACACGTAAGTGTTTTAAAAATGTAATTCAAATATAAAGAAAATACTTAAATAGAATGATACAAAATTCATTGGCTATGTAATGAATAGCACATGGATAGAGATGTTATTTAAGTACATGTAAGATACGTCATGGTCTGCTGGTTATAGACTTGTAGTCGTGCAATTGAATATTGACAAAACCATAACCTATTGTTGCTCTTGTTGATCCTACGCTTCTACTTCAAATTTGGAAGCTATAAATTCTTACACTAAAATTTTAAGCTTTTTAAATATAAGTATTTTATTATTTTTTATGACATGTGATTTTACCATTATTTATAATTTTAAGTTTTCTTTGATCTTTTATTTAAATAAAAAGAATCATATGATGCATAAAATATTATTGGCTTTTAGTATTACACTTTGTACTAAATTTAAGATGCTAAACAAAAATTTAAAATCAAAACTCGATCATTTCACGTTTGTCTGCTGTGAGGAGTACTTTGGTGCTTTGATTTGAAAAAATATGATGATGTCGTGTTAGAGCATGAGATGGTGTGCGAACGCAATTTGAAATTGTTTAGTGTATCGCTGTCCTGTTTTATTTTAACATTAAAATGTGTTAAAATTAGCATTAGTTTCTAATGTTGAAAACTAACACGAAGAATATTAATTATACATAATTTGCAGACGACATTGACGTGTTAACTACTTAATTATGTAAGATAATTGAAAATGTTGTGAGCAATTAATGCAGTATATAATATATTTTCTTATTATAATACGGGGTATAGTTTTCTAGGTGTGAAAAATGTAAAACTTGTTATTCAACACATGAAAATGATTTCGCAGTGAGATAATCATGAACAAGTTCCAAATTCAGATTCAGTAATACATTCTGTCACGCTAACGTAAAATATGATTTTATCTATTGACAAAATGCACAATCTTCATAAAGTTTCAAGTATTTTTTGTTACACATACTATACTATTAGAATTACTTTTGACCAAGAGTGAGTTGGTATTTATGTTCCTTCATTTTAACAGTCACATTTAAAACTTCAACCTCTCAGGAATGGTCGTTCAGCACTTGATTAGTTCTCATCATTCATTTATTTTTTAGTCGAAATTATTTTGTACTAAAGAGCGTTACTCGATTATTAAAAAATGTGAACGTTTCTTAGGGTAATTAGAGTCGCATATGATAAACGAGTATTACATGCCGACATGGATCAGAATCATTAGTGGGATGAAGAAATGTAAACCTGATTTTTAAAGAGGTAAAGCAGCTTAATAGTAAAACTGCTAGTTTTTTTAATTTTTTTATTAAATTTTGAATTTGTTTTAATAGATTTTATAATTAAATTTATGATATAAACTATCGTATAATAAGAATTTATTGAATTAGCACTTATTTAAACTATCTATCTAAATGCACAGTAAATTATAATGAATTGAGAAACCAGTCTTCCCCAAATGTTTCACGGGCTATGCCATATGAATGGATTATGTATATAATTGTGGGCTCTACCTAACACATACACTATCCTTCTGACAAAATACCCAATTAATGTGAATTGTACTTCAAATGGAAGAAAAGCTTTGTGTTGCAATCATAACACGCCATGCACTGCTGGGTTTGTTCCCGATGTGAATGTGCTCAGCATTCAGCTACCACCATAGAGAAAGACGAAAATATGGAAAAATGAAGGAAAAAAATTGATTAGTATTTAGAACACACAAGTTTAGTGGATTCGTGAATTGAACTCATTCCAGTCCAACTTTTAGGCAACAAATATTCAAGTCACAGTATCATTTTCTATCCATTAGCTATGGGTACCAGTTAGACGAAATCTTTCATTCCCATGTTGAATCCTATATATGTGGCCTTCCTTTGCAAATTTTCAATAGAATACACGCAGTCTAGACTAGATCATTAAATATGAAGAATTTTGAATGTTCCAAGTGGCATGATGCCTAACTTTGTTATGATTCGTTGAACAATGTAGCTTCAAGATATTGATATTATAGCACACCCCATTTCCCTGTACTAATTTCCACACAAATTTGGCTCACAAACAAACTAAGACGAAAAAGATTGTGTCATTCCACATGACTCCAGATTTTTGTATATTATGTGATCAATATTTGCTTTTAGGAAAGTTAGGGTTTGAAAAAGACTTATTTCATGATCTCATTGATGTTAGTGGAGATTGATTTTTATAAATAATCCAAAAATGTGTTTAATTTTCAAACTTGCTTTATTTTTAGCTAGACATGTGTGACCGCTGGACCACAAAGTTAGTGTCCGCTTGTAGATCCTTGTGTCCTACAGTTTCGTTCTACAATGTGTTTTATCAGCAATTATTTTGAGCAAATAAATAATTTCTTATATTTTAAACGGTGTCATTAGGAAATTGTAAATGACATCATTCCAAATTTATGCCATGAATTTGTTGAATATGTGAGCCAATTCTTTCTCTAGTGGCGATCGATTGATTAGTATAGTCTTCATTTTGATTGTTGACATGTCACCAGAAGACAGTTGGAGATTCTTAATTTGTGATTTTAGCCTTACCGCAAGTGATTTTCATTAACCCCACTAATGGCTGGTTGGGGTTGGTAAAGGAGGTTGATATGAAATTAGCCCAAATGAAAGAGTAAGTCTGATTGATTGGTGTGAAATTGTTGTCATGTTTTCTTGCAATTTTATAACTTTGAATTGGGTAAGAAAATTACCCAATTGAAATTATTAAAGCTAACAATTGACACCTTAATTCTTATATCAAATAAGAGGGAAAGAAAAAGATAAATTGGAGGAATTTGTTGTGCTAAAGACAACTTGATCCTTTTCTTGTTTGTAATTTTTTTTCTTTATTTATTTAACTTTTTTGAGAATTGATCTTGAATGACCAAGTAGTTTCAAGCACCTAAACTTGAAATCTATTCGCCCTCATAGTTTAAAGTGAAAAGAAAAACTCTTAATCATGCCCTTTTGGCTATTATTTTCTTTACTTTATTCTCCACATGCAAGGTGGGAGTGGTTTAAAAAATTGCAAGAAATACAAAACCATATACAAAATCAAATGAATCTATATCTGCTAGAACATGGCTGCCACAGTTTTGGAAAATCTAATCCACAAAATCTCAAAAACAACCATTTGTCAACACGCTGCAGAAGTCAACGGCACCAGTCTATGAATCATTTGGCCCATTTCACTTCGCTTTCAAAATAATAATTTTTCAAATTAACGTTTATGACTTTGTAGGGTGAGAAGAAGGAAAGAAATGCCAAGAACAGAGAATAGAGGGTTCGATTACGCTCTTTAATCTTCTTTTGCTTCCTACATAAGGCACCATGAGAACGGCAACATTTGTCAAAAACAAAGTGGAAAAATCCGAACATACAATTGAAAATTAACTTGCTTAAGACACAGAGCTTAACGTGAAAGACCACTTTGTTACGATAAGGTAGAAAATTTTGATAAATCTTAACTTCACAATGTTAAACTATACTCACATTTTGTGAATGTGAAATATGTGTTAAATTAAAAAACCATTAAGCTTTTAGGTTATGTGCGTGTAATTAGGATTAATTTAAAGAAGGACATTGTATAATGAAAAAAAAAAAAAAACATGTTGAAAATTCTGAAAAGAAAATATCAAAATCAAAGTAGACAAAAACAAAAAAACCTTTAGTTGCATGACGTACAATACATTTCCCTTTCTTCCCGAGTTATTGTTGTTACTATAACAAAACTTCCCTCAAGTTCCTTGTATTCTTATCATCAAGTTCTCAAATTAAACAATGTCACAAGAATTATTTTAAAATTCCATAACATATTTTCAATGGAACTATATAATATTGAAAAAAATATTTACGAGTCATTGTTTGATCTGAGAACTCAATGGTAAAATACAAGGAATTTGACCTATATATATTTTTTCTCCTATCTTTAGCTATGATTACGTCATGAAGAATTGAAGATCAATCTAGTGCATCTCCTTGTGGTGCTTGTTTGGGAGAATAGAGACTGGTACCAAGAGTCTTATACAGAGCAGTGTCAGAGTAAACAGCACGAGACCTTAATGGCTTAACCCTACGTCTATTGCTACGACTTTTGCGTTGCCTGTGGTGACCCTTCTCCTTTTTCTTTTCCTCTTCTTTAGTTTTTACATCAACTTCATTGATCTCAATCTCATCATGGCCATTTTCTGTTCCTTTTGCATTATTCACTTTGAGTGAATCTTCATTGGGTACAACATAAACAAAATGGCCAATTGGGATATCTTTCAATTCCATGAGAGGCTCTAAGGTCTTAACCACGGTTCGCATAGTGGGTCTACTCTTTGCATGATAGCTTAGACATTGATAAGCCAAGGCTGCAAATTTTTTAGCCCCTTCAATTGAGTATTGATCATCAAGTCTTGGGTCAATTATTCTTTCAAGTTTGTGGGAGTCCTTCAATTGAGGCCTTGCCCATTCTACCAAATCTTGCTCTCTAGTGGGTCTTTTCTTGTCCACTGATTTCTTTCCTGTGAGAAGCTCTAAGAGAACAACTCCAAAGCTATATACATCGCTCATTGTTGTCAAATGGCCTAAGGAAGAAATAAAAGGCATGATGAGTTAATAAAATGAAATTTTGGTGAATGAAATTAAAGGGGTTGGTTTAAATTTGGTTTTGAATGGAATACCTGTCATTATATACTCAGGAGCAGCATAACCACGGGTACCCATCACACGAGTTGTAACATGTGTTTGGTCTTTTTCTGGTCCATCTATTGCTAAACCAAAATCTGAGAGCTTGGCATTGTAATCCTGAAAAATAAAATGGCTTGTACATGTCAGTTTGTGTTGCTTCTAATGAACTAAAACATAGTGATCACTTGAATAGTATTGATAGATTGAATGCAAAAAAGGCTAATGAGAACTTACAGCATCCAATAGAATGTTTGAGGCCTTAACATCTCTATATATGACTGGTTTTTCTTCTTCATGAAGAAAAGCAAGTCCCTTTGCAGCTCCAATTGCGATTTTGATTCTTGTTAGCCAAGGCAAGGTTGCTAAATAACCTGCATTTTAGAAGGATAACTGTTTTGTAAGAAATCATTGAAAAACCGCAATTGTATAGTTGAAAGTTATTTTAACTGTTCCAAACCATCTTTTGTTTCACTTTTTTTTTTCCCTTTTTCTTTCATAATGAGAGCCAATTATAGAAAGACATGCATGTACCTTTGAAAAGCTTCTCCTCTAGATTGCCCCGCTCCATGTATTCATACACAAGAAGCCTGTGCTCATCTTCACAGCAATATCCAATTAAGTTAACCAGATGGCGATGCTTCAACTGCCCCAGAAAGATTACTTCAGCCTATATAGTACAAAAAAAATTGGTCAATTTCACCACTTGAAACGAAGAAGAATATCGATAGTAAAATTGAGATGTTAAGCCAATTCTTACCAACCACTCCCTGTGGCCTTGTTTTCCATCCAAGTTCAAGGCCTTAACTGCAACAGCCTGTGCTTCCAATCTAGGCCTAAGATTGTCATCTATAAACCCTTTATATACCTTCCCAAACCCCCCTTCCCCTAGAAAGTTTGATTTGCTGAAGTTGTGTGTGATCTCTTTGAGCTCTTGACAAGTGAAAATATGAAGATTTGATCCCACAAGAGAATTGGACAAATCACTCATGATAGAGAGTGATGAGTAATTGCTTAAATCAGAGAGGGAGATTCTACTTGAAGATGTTTTTTTGGAAACTATATTTGGAGCTTCCAAAGAAGGGTTCTTAGCTTGAAAACAGCCAAGTACTAAGGATTTCCATTGAAGCCTCTTTGAAGGCATTTTCTGTTAAGCTCTATGTGCCGGCTCAAGTGTGTTTGATAGCTTTATCAACAACTGCTAAATTAAGTTTAGATGGCTCACCTTTTATAGGTTATAATACCAAGGCTTTGAGGTTTCGGGGTAATTTTTAAAAAGACTTTGATAAAGAAGCCGAAAACTTTATTTTATTTCATTTTATCCTTGTTTTTTTTCCTCCCGTGTAGGCCAGTGTGATCGATGAAATCTACCTAAATTATGTCACTTGATCCATGACTTTGCCTATATTATAAAATTCTAAATGCCCACCATTTTAAAGTAATGTAAACGGTATTAACTTGGTTTTGGTTTCTGTTTCGGTTTCAATCCTATTATTTTTATCCTTGTGCTAAAATGTATTTATTAAGTGAATTCATTTGACGGAAATTAGAAATAATTAATTGACTTAATTCCATGGATGAAAATAACATCATCAAAGAAGCTTCTTTGATTAGAATCATGTGGCCAGTTTCTTCATCCAATAAAATTCCAGATACAGTGGAAACAAGTGGTTCCAAAGATGCCAAGCTCGTCAACCTTGATTCCTCGCCGGTTGCATTATACTGCTCCCTGTCGCAGGCTCATAGGTTCCCTGTTTTTCAATGTCTTACTATACTACTCGACTATTATTAACATGTACTGGTATAAGGTATCACAAATGTACCCTTAACATTCAGGAAATTTGTATTAATTAAGATGTCTCACGTTATGTAAAAATATAAACAAAATATTTTTTATAAAATTTGGATAATTTTCTTTACTTTTTTAAGTCTGTTTTTGGGGTTGGGTTGAGTTTTATCTAATTTATAAAAAAAAAAATACTAGTGTCTTATGAAAAACATATTGTGATTTTTTTAAATTAAGATGAGAGATCTTAACAGTACACACTTCTAGCTAGCATGAGTGGAGAATGATGTTTAAAAATAAGCATGAGTAATAATAAATATACTAAAATGTTATAATTTATCTAATTATATGAATTTTTTTTGTTGTGTTGGCATAAAAATTAGAAGATAAAAGTAAAAATTGTAAAATACAGTTATTCAAATTGTTAATAAATGGTCCAACATGTATATTTGTCCAATAGGGTATGACATGACATATGCAAAGATGACGGAAATATTTGCACCCGTAAACTACTATACGAATTATCCACAACGGGAAGAAAGATGGATACCATTGAGTAATGCTGGCATTATTATATACTAATATAAGCCTCTTAACATTTATTTAAAAAATGTTTATAATATTTAATAAAAAATTAAAAAAATTAAATAAAATGAAAATTTTGATAATAAATTCCCTGTTAAAAATATTTATTAACTAAATTTTTTATTTATAATAAATAAAAATAGATAAAAATATAAATATTAAACATTTAAATTCATGATAAATTTGTCTAAATTCAAATAAATAAACACATAAAATAATAATATATCACATTCATACTTGTAGATAATAATTTGTTTATATTTTTAAATATATTGTATGTGTTATATACTTTTTATCATTTTATAATGAGATAAAAAAATTTAAATGATTTTGTAGTAAATAAACATGTAAAGATACATACACACTCTAATTTGAATTTAGCTCACTCTTAAAATTAATTTTTAAGAAGAGAATTAGCTCAGTCTTATAAGTATTATTCTGACCCTATTCTTAGTTTATGCGAATATTTTAACAATTTAAATAAAATAAATAAATTATTTTTAATTTATAAAAAAATTATTCGTTTATTATATTCGTTTTTTTAACTCAAAATGTATCCAAACTTATCTGTATTTATTTAAGTATTACCCGAACTAGGTGATTGGAATGGAAATAAACAACTCAGCGGAGCGATCTTAAAGTATTGAGAAACCATGGTTACTACTCGGATGGCGGAACATGGTATTTCAAAGAAGGTATATCCAAATATATACATAGGCCACTTGGTACGAGATAAATTGGACATATTTAGTTTAGAAAAAAAAAAAGTTGACCATATATAAAATAATAAAAATTAATTTGAGTGTTAATCGATTTAGTACCACTTAAGTAAAATTTTAAATTTAAATTTTTATATATATAAAAAAAATTAATAATAAATTTATTTATCTCATTCGGATGTATAACTCGAATTAAGTTTAAATTAAATTCAAAGAGAAAAAAAAATTGGACATATTTAGACAACAATTTGGGAAGCAGGCAACAGCAAGCTGGAAGCAGCAAGATTCGATAACAAAAATAATGGAAATCACGTAGCACTTGTTCTAGGTATGAAGTGCGTTAGTGTCTTCTGATTAAAAGTTAAAAGATAATTTCAATTGGTCGTATGGAAAAATGGGGTCCCACCCTAATTGACTTTGAATATTGACACCACAAATTCCTTTGGACGTTCAGACCATTGAATGGAGTTGTTGGAAGCTATGTCACTCGCTTGTCTTGTTGCTATTTATCACATTCTAATAAGCTATTTCTTTGCAATTTCATCCTCTCCTGCTCTTTTCGGGATAAAGCGATTCCCTCGTGTTTCGCTTCTTCCCAATTTCCCAGGTTATATCCTACGTGTGCTCGTTTTCTGCGGCACATACATATGAACGTAGGGAATATGCAGTGTCTAAGAAGAACCTTTTCTTTTTGGGTCAGATGAAGAGAGGTTCATGAAATATGAACAACGTGAAACTTTTATAAAGTAGTATCCACCGAATAGGTTATCTATTTAGCTTTAATGATTAGGGGACATGTCTCAGAATTTGTTATCATTGTAAGTTATCTATAATATTAATTAAGAAAACTATACATACACTACTAATTATGTTTAGTTATAATCTTTATACTGAAATTTTTCTCTTAAAGCCGGTAACATTATATAGATCGATAGATAGATACCAGTTATGTGTCTTAAAGCTCATTAATTTTGAGTGATGGTTAGTATAATACTCCCTGAATTTAAGTGAAATTACACTTAATATCTTTCTTGTTTTTCACTATTCAAATTTCCCTCAATTAATAAATTAAAAAAAATAAAATAAGCTTTTCTATTTAATAGTTATTAGTTGAAATATTTAATAGTTTGTCTTTTCGCATAAAATAAATATAAATTTATACTTTTTGAATATGATGACTTTTTGTATTCCTTGGAATTACTTGTAAAGATATCATACAAAAGTATTACAACAGTAGTAAATTAAAATGGTTTATTTTTATTAAAAATGTAAAATTTATACGATTTCATATAAGTACATAATTTTCTTAGAAAAGTATTTAGTTTGATAAATGTTTTAAGTGAAAATATAATACGAAGAAGAAAAAGAAACTCCAAATATTAATGATGGGATTAAATTCCAAACACAGATCCTATATTTCTGTAAGCTGCCATGAACCGGCAACGTTTTATTTTGCTGAGGCTTCGCTTTGGATGATGATCATTATAACGTCAAAGAAGAAAAAGAAAATTCGTGATGCACCAGAGTGTAGATCGATTACACTGTCACTATGCATCTGCTGCTAGGGCTGTATTGAATTATTATTTGTTTGAATGAATACATATAAGTCGGCTTAGTGGAAACCGATCACACATTCGATTCATTTTAATGTGTATTTTCAATGTTATACAAATTTTAAAAATAAGAAATTTAAAGAAAAATATATACATCAATCACCTAAATTTACTTTTCTTTTATAAGAAATGAAATCTTTAAAAGATTTCTCTTTTCGTCAATTTTGAGAACCCATGACAAAAAGTAAAGAGAGTATTTTAAACTTATTCTAATCCTTTTACTAACATGGTTAGATATCAAATGTGAATGCATCTCTTAATAAAAACCAAACTATATAATTCAACATTTTGTAGTGGACTATGGCTTGTTATTTGACTGAAATTGACTTTTAGGTCGCCTACTTAAATAGTGGTTAGTAATAATCGCTTTGTATAAAATACTAAGAGAGCGGTTTCGCCTCAATTGCTCTCTAATATTTACTTCTGAGAGCGGTTCAAATGAAACCGCTCTCTTATATGGACTTCTGATCAAATGGAATCGCTCTCTTATATGGACTTCTGAGAGCAGTTGTTAAATAACCGCTCTAAGAAGTATATATTAGAGAGCGGTTCCAAATGAACTGCTCTCATAAGTCCATATTATAGAGCGGTTATGAATCATAACCGCTCTCAGATGTATTTTTAAAACTCTAATCTAGTTATCCCTGTCGCCCTGCCAAGTCTGTATACTTCAAAATTCTCTTTGTTCGGTGTTTTTTGAGAAATTTTTGCAGAGGAACAAGCACACCTGACATTGCAATCGAAAATTGAAAGTATATTCATAATCGTTTCTTTGTTTTGTGGCCATGTTTGGACATTCGCATTCTCTCATTCTCTCTGTTCACTGATACGTACATATGTTTTTGACGTTGAACAATGACAACGTCTTCTCCATTTTTGGTCCTAGCTGAACTGCGACAAATTTGCACTTCTTTCTTAATTCCAGGTTAGTGCATGCTGTTGTGTTTATAATTTGTATGAATTGAATATTGTTAACATGTTGACCATTGCTGCCGCGTGAACAAAGAGTATGAAATTACTTCTAATTTTGTAAAAGTTGATATGGGCAGGTTCAATCTTAGTATGTTAACCTCTGAAATGTTGTTGGAATGGTTTTTTAGGATTTGTTGAACATGATATTAGGACAGTGGTTAGTTATAATGCAAGAGCATATTGTTGTGTTTGTTAACCTATGATATTAGGATTTTTAAAATTTTTATATTCTTATTTATTTTGCCCCCGAAATGTATATTTCCTCTGTGTATGAATGAATTTGATGTTGTATTGTAGAATGTGATGAATGCATGATTATTGTTAGTTATTAAACTTGGTAGGATATGACTTCAAATGTAAAATTGAGTAAAACCATAGTCTCCCATTTGAGATTGAAAATAATGATTTATTAAACATTATTTTCAATCTCAAATTGTCCAAGTTGGACAGTTTGTGAACAAACTTATTCATTATCTTGTTAGCATTTGCTTCTCATAATGTTGTATTTAATATTTAACAAAATTTGAGTTTGAAGCATTTCTCATTGTCTCTTAGTGCATG